ATGAGTGGTGTATGATAAGTGGTGTATGATGAGTGGTGTATGATGAGCGGTGTATTGATGAGTGGTGTATTGATGAGCGGTGTATGATGAGTGGTTTATTGATGAGTGGTGTATGATGAGTGGTGTATTGATGAGTGGTGTATTGATGAGTGGATGAACAGTTCTTGAATGTCCGTAACACGGAAGTTTCGTACACTAAACTTCCTTTGATAAGTAGTAGTCGCCGTCGTAGTAGTCGTAGTAGTGGTAGTCGTAGTCGTAGTCGTAGTCGTCATCGTGGCCGTGGTCGTGGTAGTGGTAGTGGTAGTGGTAGTGTAAGTATATACCACTATGCCAGGGGGAAAGGAAGAGGGAAGAGACAGATCGAGAGGGGGAGTGAGAGAGGGAAAGAATTGCAGTAAATTTGGGGAACAATACATGCATGCTGTTTCATATCATCCCCGCTGAGCCCTGCAAGCGGCGGTCGGTGTGTTTTGCATTTTCTCAGTCAGTGAGACATCAGTTGAGGCCTTTACCTCCTGGCTGGGTTTGACGGATACGTGCTGGCCTGAGTTGAGAGACGCAGCTTTGAGACGTTACACCACCAAACTAACATGATTGTCGAGGCTCCAACATCTCCAGCATACAGGTGTTCATCGTTACGATAGACTTTGTTGATCTATAATGGATATAAATGGTCTCTTCAAGCCACACTAGCTGGCCTCGAATTCGAGGCGCACCATGACGTGTGGCTTGGCAATACAGAAGGGTCCAGCCCTCACCTCAGTTTACACCCAGCGGCCCAATGGCCAGATCAACTATGATCAACTTCTAGCAGCATTCAGCACTGCCCGCCCTCGTTGCACTCTCCTTGTTATATAGTGCATTATAGTTATAGTACATATGTGTCCCTTTGTGCAAGCCGGGCACGCATTTGTTTATGTGCGCTTGGCCAACCTTGGCCATCTTACAATGGGCTTGGCCTCTTCACAGTCCGAGAGAACGTTATCGATATCTAAAGAAGATTGATACACATTTGATGGAGCGACAATTTGGCCACTGCCTCGCGTCGTCAGTCACAATCTCTCTGCGATGCGAGGTTGGGAGCTGATGCGCTTTACACACCGCCGGGAGGGCAGCTATGATGTGTTTGAGGCTGCTTCACAATGCAAGACCGCCAACGCAACTATAGAATCCCGTGAATCCCCAAATGCTGTCGCCAGCAGAATTTGCTTGTTGGGGAGTGAGCCAGAAAGGTTTGTTGCCTCATTGGACACCTGTGGCCCTCCGTGGGAAGACAGCCCATGCACCACGCAACTCGTGCTCAGTACCGAGCACCTTGGATCCCTCGCTTTGCCCTTGCAGCGGTTGCAGTCGGAAGGCCCAGGATGGTCGAAATGTCATCAACAGTGGGAGGGTCTTCATGTTTGTTTTTGCAATGCCGTTCCTGCAGCAGATGGACAGCCTTTGTGGCATCAGGTTAGGCATGGCATATGCCATTACCGGCTGAAAAGACCCCCCCAAAGACTTGAAGGCCATGAATTTATGCAAAAATTTGCATTTCATGAACTAACATACTTGTTGTTCATCCTTTTGATTCTTTTTGTGTGCTTTTGTTATCGCACCGTCTTTTTACTGTAAGTGGGGGGTGCCCTGTTAGTCCACAGTCACAGTCTGAAAGGGGTTCTATGCACCCTTGGCAGGTTTTAAAACCAATTCTTTGGGTGACTTGAATCCGGAGGACTCTGAGGGGCGCATCAAGATCTTTGGAGGCCAAGCAGAGGAGGAGGATCTTGAAGGCGATTGCCTGGGTCGAACCCAGAAGCTTTCTCACTTTGAGAAGCCAATTAGACTCTGTGGATTCTTCATATCTCTATTCTCATAGAGAGTGAAGGACTTGAACATTATTTCTCGCTTAGGGCTCAATGTGCAAGCAAACAGTGGGAGGAGTTGTTTTCATGTCATCAATATAGGCAAATGCTGCCACATGCTTCAAGTGTTTTCTAGTTTAATCATGAGCGCTAAATCTTGGCTCAAACTACGCGTCGTGATCATGTCGAGCCTTTCGACCATGTCAGTGTCCTCCACGGAGGCCTAGAAGTTTTCGTGGAGTGTCGTGACATGTTAGTAGCAAGAAGCTAGTAGGTTGGAGGCCATCGCTACTAGGATGGAGGCCATTAGTACTAGTAACAAGGAAGCTACTTTTTTAAATCTTTGGAATTGATTGTATCGCCCTTGCACGAGCAGTGCTGGGTACTGCCCGCAAGGTTCAACGCATGCATGGTGCGAAGGTCTCCAGATTCAGGGAATTGTTGGAGGCCTGGGCCTGGTAAACAATGGGCGGCACACTCCTTGTTTCAGATTAGGAGGGCTGCTGACAGCACCGGCTGATGCTTGAGATCTGGTGACCATCTCATTGTTCTTTGGTCTTTGGATCTGGAGCGTGTCGCCGCAAGGTTTTGCTGACTTTGCAGCTTGTTGCTTTGAGATATGTACATAGCATCGTTCAATAGATCACTTGACTTTGACTACGTGACTGCTTGAGATGAACATACTGCAGGAGCTGAGCGCTCTTCATGAGAATACCCTGGCCGAGATTAACCAGCTACGAGGGCAATGGACCATATCCGTCCAAGCGCAGTTGAGCTTAATTGATCGCTGTTCAGATCTTTCAAGCATTCTGAGGGCTACACGGGCGAAACCTAGGAACCACATGAAATAGAAGCATGAGCTTTCCTTTGCCCTAGCGGGTAGCAGGATACCTAATGCAGTAGTTTGTTTAGCCCTTAATTGAGTAGCCTACTTAATTGAGTCAGGGTGGGGGCAACACGGACGGACAAAACTCCGGAGCCTCCGGAATATCTTTTGGCGCGATTGCTCAGGCCGGGTGACCTCAAGGACTGTCGCTGTGTTTGGCAGACGGCTCCCAAACCTACGAGTAGTTGTCCACCGAACGAATTGTAGCCGAAGCAGCTGTCACATTGGCCTTGCCGAGTCAAGGGGGTCGGATCGGTCGTGACACAAACTTACAGTGACCCGGACAGATTTGCACTTGTTTGCTTCTTTCATGACTTTTGTCATTGTCACCCTCATGATGCCCCCTGTGCCACACCCACAGGAAAGAAACTTGGGGCCTCTTTGGAAGCCCTCGCTGCCTGTAGAGGCGGTGCACGACTCGGTGCCTTGCCAGCGAATGATGACTGGGATGGTCTTGTCCGTGACTGCTCCACTACACGCACTACACTATGCCGAATCCTTTGGGTCAGCAAGGTCAAGGTGCTCTTTGTATAGTGGGGTGCCCCAAATGGAATCCGTGAATCACACATTGGGAAAGACTCTTCACTTGAAGAGAATGGCAGACCTCCTCTGGTTATGAATTCATGTGAGAAACGCAAAAGCCAACGCAGTGATGCAGGCAGACCTTCCCCCTTCACCGCCATCGGCAGCTTCACTGCCTGCGGGAAAACTTCTTGGCCACACGCCGCCTGACGCATATAATGGCTACAGCAAGGCAATTGGCCAGCAACCCTAATAACTTGCCTTTTCATGCAACGTCGTGGTGTGGCATGTGCACATAGTGTACAGGGCACATGTGAGCATTGTAAGGTTTCCAGTCACTTGACAGGGTTTCGCTGCGCATATTGCGTAACAACCAGTCTCAATCTCAAGGTGGGTTGTTAATGGGTCTTGTAAATGAGGGGTTCTCACTTTCTCGAGGTCGTCCAAGACAGCCTCAGAGGAAGAGACTCGGCATCTGACCTGGATGAGGTAGACAGATTGAGATGATTTATATAAGATACTTAAACATCTTTGACATGACTTTAACAAAGCGAGCACAAAAGAAGAGTTCTTCCGTGAGAGTGATCCAACATGATCCAACCTTAGGAAGGGGAGGAGAAGATTGCATTTGAAGAGGAGAAGCCTTCGAGAAACACCAGCAAGTCAGGTTTGAGCCCCTTGGTTTTCTAATCAGATCGGCTAGCAGCTAGACGGTTATAGTCAAAGGTGAGATTTTGCGAGCCCTTAAAATATCAATTTTTTGCTGCTTGATAACCATGCCGAGAGCAATAGGGCTTTTCGCGTAACACCTTATATATCAGGTCTTATCTTCAAAAGACTCAAAAGGGTAGGAGTGTAGGACTAAGGAAGGCCCAAGCAACCCGGAATTCATCGCTATTTAGATTGGAGGCCATTGCTAGAGGGCGTCGCTATTGGGTGGCCTCTACCTATATAATAGCAATGGCCTCCAACCTGCTCGCAATGGCCTCCACCTAATAGCGATG